TTTTAAATAATTATTGTTTTGGACAATTATTTTGTACGTATTAAATAAGTATTTTTTATTAGCATATTTAAATAAATATTTATATGTTTTAAGAGAAGGTTGATTTTATATGATATTTTGTTATTGAAATTATATTATTATATTTTGAGTCAGAAATATATTATTATTATAGAGGAAAAATATTTTATAATATACATGTATTTATTTTATTTAATTATTTTGAAGAAAAAGAGAAGTGGGTTAGAAGAGAAGGAAAATGGATTGGGTTGACCCAGCCCAATGAATTAATTTTAAGAAAGGAGTCAGGTAGCATTAACCCTATCTGCCTCATTTGGGTTCTGAAGGGTTAGGAAAAAAAAGGAGAAACAAAGAGCTCTAAGGAAGAGTACTCAGAAATGATCTTAGATCACACCAAGACCATTCGTCTTCTGCTCATCCAGGTAAGGGGAGAGTGAGAAACCTCGCTCAGGGTGCGAGAATAATTGTTGGGTAGTAGGATTGACCCCAATCCCTTACCTGATGAATGTTTCTAGGAACAACCAAAATATGAACATTTTCTGTTTTGCCTTCTGATAGTTCTGTTGGGCTTCTTGTTGGATGTGATGTGTAGATATGTGATTGATTTTGAGAATGATCATGTTTTGATATGTATTAGAGTGCTCTATGGGTTCCTACGGGAAGCCCAAAATATGAATGTTTTATGTTTTGCTTTCTGATTCTTTTATTGTGTTCCTTATTGGATGTGATGTATGAATATGTATTTGATTTCAAAATTAGATAAGTTTTAATATGAATTAGAGTGGTCTGTGGGTTCTTGAGAGAATCATATGAGAAACAAACAAAATATGAATGTTTTCTGTTTTGATTTCTGATTCTTCTGTTGTGTTCCTTGTTGAATAAGATGTATAAATATATGATTAATTTTGAAAACAGATAAGTTTTGATATGAATTAGAGTGTTATGTGGGTTCTTTTGGGAAATCCTATGAGGTAAAATTAGGAATATGATCTATGGATGATTTGAGGCATTATATGTAATGTTGATGATAGCTTCATGTTTTAGATAAGTTCTTGGTATGGTTTATGTATTATTTTGATGTATATGATGACGAGAAGTTTTTTTTATGAGACTATGGGAATATGATGTGAGAATGTGAAAGGTGAACATATGATCTGTGATATGACATTATGACATAATATGACATGAGATATGATGAGATGTGAAATGTGAAGTGTTGAGTCATTGTAATTGTGAATGTGAGACATGCATCATATGCATATATGACTTATTCCAGGTGTCCCGTTTAGGCCGCATATTAGTGATGTAACAAGCTATGTGACGAAATGACTTATGTCAGGTGTGCTTCTTAGGCCGCATACCAGTGATGTAATAGGCTATGTGATGAAATGACTTATGCCAGGTGTGCTGCTTAGGCCACATACCAGTGATGTAACAGGCAATGTGATAAAATGACTTATGTCAGGTGTGTTGCTTAGGCCCCTCAGCTCGTTGTAGTAGGTGAGAGGTGTCATGGAGCATGTTTTTAACTTGCTGAACTCGATCCACAAGATTATATGCCCAAATTCTTTGATTTTCTTCATGTATTCCGATGACGTCCCTCAATTGCCTTACTTTTTCCTGTAGGCCCATAACCTGATGATTTTTCTCCCCTAATGTGGCTTGATAGTCCATATTCAAATTGAAATTTAGTCTTTTTTTGCCTTGAACTGATCTACTTTCGTACTCAACCACTACCCTTTTGAGTTGTTGTTTCAAATCCTCAAGTTGTTTTTGTGCCAATCTCTCAGCTTTTTTAGATGTTTCCCACGCCTCTCTCCATCGTTCACCATCAACCCTAACTTGGTCACGTTCACCTCTTCGCATCTTTAACTCTGTGGAAGCGGCCTCTAAACAACTGCGAGTATTCAACTTACCTTCTTCTTCAATTCTTGCTCGCTTATTGTCTAGTTCAACACGTTGTCTTGCTTGGGAAATTTCTCTTTGCGCTGCTTGATACTCTTGGCAAGCCTGTATTAACTCCCTCTTCATATCTTCTTTTTCTTTCTCAGATTTGGCCAACTCTTTTTTAAGTTTTTCGATCTCCTTTTGACTCATAGGCTCTTGAATTGGGGTTTCTTCAATAACTGGAATGGGACCTCAAAATGGCAATTTAACATGTTGGACCCTCTCATTGAGCCACTGTTGATAACTCAACTCCACATTACAATTTCTTTTTCCCAATTCTTTCCCTTTCTTGATCACCTTATCCCAAGATTGTCTAATCTTGTTAAGAAAATCCAACTTCTTAGTCATATCATAAACCATGAAAGGAGTGATTGAATCCTCAACCGGTGGGCTCCTAATCGAATAACTGAGTTGCCTTAACGCAAGAGTGGGATTGTAGTTTACACATCCCTTAGTACCCATCAGTGGTACGTTCCGGAAATCTCCACATTGACAAATCACTTCATCAATGTTTTGCTCTCGCGAGTACCAAGAAATGGTCTTTTCACTAAGATTTGCTATGCTGTAAGCCCATTCGCTCTTATTTTTAATCTCAATCTGACTTCCTCTCTTGAACATGTAGGATGTGAACACAAGTATAGTATTGGTATACAACACAAAATTACCCCACCCCTTCTTTCATGGCGCACGGTAAGGGAATGGTATGTATCCGCAAGAATGGATGGTACAGGACTCATTTTCTCATGTTTAAAGGCCAAGAAGACATCAATTGCAGCAAAGTCAATAAAGTTTTCAACGTTCGGGAATAAGACAATTCCATAAATAATGAGGGCGAGCACATCCATGAAAACACCCCATCTCTCACTTTCTGCTAAGCTTAACGCATATCGCTCAAGGTTAGTTCGCGAGAAACCTTCAATCCCCCCTTTTGTCTCTTTCTTGCTTGCTAATTCTCTGGCATCAATCCCCAAGGAGGTGGCAACTTTGGTTAATGAAGGATAATGTCCCATGTACATATAAGGCTTTTTATTTCCTAAGCCAATACCTAGTATTTGTTCAAATTCCTCAAGCAATGGTGCCAGTTGAAAATCTTGAAAAAGAAAGGACCTCAAAGGAGCATCGTAGAATTGGGCTAAGGCAGTGAGAGCTCCCTCTTGTATGTCTACCTCCAATAGGTTAAGGATTCTGGCATACCGAGCAACAAAAGTTCGCGCTGACCACCTTTTAACATGTTACTGAGAGTCTTCAAACTACTCAAATCCGTTTGTCTGACCTTTAACTTCAAGGTCTTCCTTAAACTTGATTCTATGACTTTATGAAAGATGTTCGTAGCGACTTAAGTTTTTTATGACTCTCTAACAACCTGGAAATGAATGCAACATGCTATTGATGAATTTATTTGTTTCATTTTTATATGATTCTTTTCGAAATGCATGATATGATGTAAAAGTTTATTTTTCAATTTTCATGAAATGAATGCATGATACTCATTACGGAATGGAATAAAATAAATCTTTTTTTTTTTGTTTTGTGTCATTCGAATATAGAGGTAGAATATTGCTCTTGTGACACTTAACAAGGGCATTCCTAAGTTGAAAATTCTATAGACCACTAATATGTGTGCCTCTCAAAAAGGTGGGACTATGGTTCTAAAACAGGTTCCTAGAGTCAATAACCCTTCTTAGGATATTAGTCACAATAACAGATAAACTATTAGAGATGATAATACCCTTGAAAGGATCAAACTCTAGGTGAGGCCTTCATAATAACCAAATAAGATGTTCATCAAGAAGGTTACTACTACTCAACCTCTTACTTATCATAAGTTGCACTCAAGTCCGGGAATAAGACCGCACTCATAAATGTGTGTGAAATTGTGTAAGTGAAGTGTGTGAAGGGAGCAACCCTACACTACCCAATCTACAAAACACAACACATATGATATGAAAAATAAAATTCTTCTATCCTAAAGTTCAAATTACACGATATATTTATAGAATTCATGCAAATAAACAAACAACAAACAAGGGACATAAATAATAATAAAAAAAAAAGTAAGAATAAAAAATAAGATAATCATTTTATAAAAAGTAAAATTCTTTTATCTTATAGTTCAAACTACACAACACGTATTTAGAATTCATGCAAATAAGACAAACAACAAATAAGGGAAATAAAAAAATAAAAGTAAAATTAAAAGTGAGATAAAAATTTTATAAAACTTATTATTAATTAGCTTAACTAATTATTATAGGCTTGACTCTCAAAAAAATGTCCCTAGTAGAGTCGCCATCTATCACAACCGAAATCGCAACGGGATAGCGAAAAATAAATTAAAAAAGAAGGAGTCGCCACCAATGTTATTTTTTACGGAAAAACATTGGAAAAATCATAAATTAGAAAATAGTCTACGAAAACCAGATTTTTGAGTTCGGGAGTCGATTACGTGTGAGGAAGGTATTAGCACCTGACAACATTCGTCCTAAGACGATTACCTTTAATTAATTAAACAAATTATTTATAATTTATAAAATATTTATCTCACAAAAATGATGAAATATATTTTATTTAACTAATTTAACTAATGCATTAAAAAAAGTCAAAATTATTATTGTTGTATAAAAAGGAAAATAATATATTTTTTTCTATTTTTTTGGCTCGACAAGATTTATTTCTTGCTCCTACGTATCTTCATGTGTAATGAAAAATCAGAGTTACGTAGTTCTTTTGTAGAAAATATTTATGTGTTAGATATTTTTTAATTAAATTTTATTTTTGTTAAATATAGGATTCTTGAACTGTCTCAGCTCATTCACCCTAAAAATATAAAATTGACTAAAGTGTACCCCAAAGTCAATTCAATAAAATTTTGATTATAATTATTGCTATGGATATTATTATCTTAAAAGATATTTTGGTTGGATATTTTTGTTTTTGGAGAAAAAATTTAAAGATAAGTTGTCGTAACTTGTACTTTAAATTCAAAGGTTAAAAAGATGTCACATCTAATTAACCATTCCTCCAATAAAATTTTTGATATAATAACTGATGGCATCCTCACTTGCATGGACATGAGATGATGGACAAGGAAGATGATGCCTCACTCCAAGGATCAAGTTCTTCAAAGGTGGCACAAGGTTTTAGGGTGGATGATGATGGAATGGATGAAAATGGAGGTTGGGTAGAAGGTGTTTGAGGAAATGCTTGAGAAGGGTACTCTAGGGTTGGCTCACTTCATGATGATGAAGGCCACTTCTAGGGTTGTTTCTCTCAAGGTGGAGATGGGAGGGAGGTGGCCGAATTAGCCAAGGGTGACTAAGGAAAGATATAAAGGCACAAAAGGCTCTCTTTATATTCAATATCCAAAATATTTACAAGGTGTGGTGCGTTGGGTATTTATAGGAGGGGAGGCATCTAGGGTTGCATTTGGAGTAGGCAAATGCATTCCAAATGAAATGCAAATGAACCCTAGATGCAACTTGGTGGCCAAGGATGGAATCTTTGGGTTTAGATTGGCTATATCTAGGTGCATGATAAGACCATGCAACCTTTGCCCTCCACTTGGGCCTAAGCCTTTCTAACACCAAAAATAGATCCAATGAACACCAAAAAAATGCGTCACCCTTCTAGTTAACACCCTAGCCCAAAATTAAAAACCCTAATCATCTAGAGCACCCCATAATACAAGGGTAAAATGGGAAATACAAGGGAAAATAAATTCTAAGTCCTAAACACCCCAAAATACAAGGGTAAAATTGGAAATACAAGTAAAATAAATTCTATGACTAAAATACCCCAAAGTACAAGGGTAATTTTGGAATCAAAGATAAGGGCAAAATAGGAATAAAATAAATGCTATGCTAATAAGAACTTAGGAGCTAAGGTCCAAAAGTGGCCTTACTCCTCCTATGATTTTTCAACACTAACTCATTCCTTTTACTTCCTTCAATACATCACCTCTTGGACTTCTTGGCCTTAGTGTTATTCCATCAATAACTTCAAATATTGATATTGAATATTATAATACTATATCTTGATATTTAATCATATTTTGAATTAATTGTTTTTTTTAAGTATAAAATAATAATAATAATAATAAGTTGTCACAACTTACATCCTTAAGTTCTAGGATTAAAGGAATGTCACATTCAAATAATCTCTTTTTTATAGATATAATTTATACTAATATTAATAAGGGAATATTACCGTAATTATTATTATTATTGTTATAAATACCTAGAATATTTATAAAAAATAACTTAATCAAATAAAATCAATTAGACTAATTTTGTTAAAACAAGAAATAGATATCATCATCTAAGATTAAGGGGATACCACATAAAAATAATCTCTTTTTTAGAGAAGATAGATATTATTAATTAAAAAAATAAATTATTATTATTATTATTGCCTAAACGAATAAAAAATATCAGAGAACCTAATGGACATTTATAAATCATTGACTTAATCTACCACAATTAACTATATTACTTTCTATTGTAAAAAAGGGCAATTATCATAAAACATTAATATAATGCATACTTTGAAAAAAGAAAAAAAAAAGAAGAGGGGACGTAGAAAGGAAAAAAGATGGGCTAAAAAACAAAAGAGACGTGACGAGCCCACATACGCAGCCTGATGCGACGTGAGTGAGAGAGTGGAAGGAAGAAAAAACAAAAAAGGAAAGAGAATGACATTTAGCCATATGACCAACCCGCAACCAAAGCGCAACAAAGAGGAAAGAGGAGCTCCGCTAGGGTTCCGCATGCAGCCTCTCTTTATGGATATCAATGACGCGGTGGCTCACCGCTACAGTGTCGTCGTGCTTAGGGCGATCAGCCGTGCAAAAGGGAAGGAGAAGGCTGGCAGTTAGTAACGTCAACATCACTGGAAATCGCTTCCGATAACGGCACACGGCGGCATTCGCGGTGGCGCTTTTGTGTAGTGACTCGTCGTAGCGACGTGCGACCTCGATGCGTGGGGGAGAGATTAAAGGAGAGTAGTAGCCGCCCCGAAAATCGTCTCCGACGGCGCACGGCGGCGCTCACGGGAACCACAATCCAGTTGCGTTCCCTGGTATATTTCGCTCGCTCCTTTTATTTTGTTTTCATCTTTTCTATTGTGGTTAGATTTTTGCTTGCTGGGTAGAAAACCCTTGAATGATGGTTTAAGTTGGTTTAAAGGGGGAAGGGATTGATTCACGATAAGGTCAAATATGTATTATTTTCAATATAAAAAAATGACCCTATACAGAACAAGATTAGAGAGAATATTGATACCCAAATTTGATTGCCTGTTGCTTCTATTTCCACTTTCTCGTTCTACCTGCTTCTTTCTTGAGCTCACTTTCCTTCGTTCTCCGTCCTTTGTTTTCCATCTTTTGTTCTCTGTCCCCCCGTTCTCCGTCTTTTGTTCTCTCCTTTATAGAAGAAACACATACAGGCCGAAGCATGCTACCAAAAAATACCAGCTTGCCGAGTTTGAAGTTCCGAGAATTGTTTTAAGCATGGCACCAAAACCAGACTTTTACACTAACATAGAAACCTTACAGGATAAGGAAAAAAGTTACACTGGCTACAAAACACATTTGTTGATACAGAGGAAGATTTGGCTTCTCTATTTGTCCTTTTCTGATTTCATTGTTTTTATTTATTATTTATGGTTATTGTGTATTTTTTAGTTTAAATCTAGCTTGCAAATTATTAATTTAAAATTTTTGAGAAATAAATTAATAGAAAAAATTAGTGGAATAAAATTGGTGTTTACACTAAACTACTTGTTAAGCACAAACATGAAGAGCTGACTTTGAGTTCATGTGTAAGTTAGTTTTAGTTTATGTAAAAATTTATTTTAAGTTTTTATTTTTATTTTTCTCTCCCCAAAATACTTTTGAAAAAACTATTATTTTTCTCACTATGAATCTTTTATTTGGAATTCTCTCTAATTTATTGATAATATATCCTGTATTAGTGGAATGATACTACGCGTTGATTAATGATGCAGTTTCGAA